CAAGCAGGAAAAAAAAAACAGAGCACTTAAATATTTTCCATACCTTCCCTCCCAGTTTGAATGGTGGAAGACCTTGTAAGGGCATGTGCTGCATCAAAAAGCATCCCCTAATCCACACTGTAAAGTGTATAATCAGTCGAAGAGCATCGATTGATCAAACACAAGCTACTAATTTGGTATACTTAGACGGATAACAACAAATATCCATATGAGAAAACTAAACTGGATTCCTATAGTTGCAAAAGGCTTCGCACAGCTTTATGAAATTTTTCAAGTGGTGTTGATGTTGAAGCCTTTTCCAAAGGCTATGATTTGCAAGCCTGTAGATATTGTTTGCAGTTTTTTGCTAATATTCCAGGTTACTGATGTGGACACTACAAGGAAGTTGTGATTTTAGAGGTATTTTTTTTCCTTTGGAAGTCTTGTTTCTTCTACGCCTTTTTCTGCAGCGAATTTTTCATTTTCTGCGTTAGAATTTTTAACTGTTTTCAATTCTAACAATCGCCTAAATTCTTAGCCACTGAGCAGCTATCAAAGTATTCTTATCATCCGGTCAGGTGGATTGTTGCTCTTCTTCTCCCTTACAGAATTGTCTTATGAGGCCACATCAGGATTTCCATAGCTTCAACTCCCTTAAAGAGCTATAAATGGCAGAGCTTCCAAATCTTATATCCTTTTCAGATGGTTTTCTCTCCATCCTCAGCAAAGTTGAAACTAGCAAATGTAATGCCTAACATCCTTACACGAGGTGTTGAAGCACAAAATTTCACACAATCAGTAATTAGAAATCGATGGTTGTAATATTCATTGTAAGAGGCCAATTTCCTTCATCTCTAAGACCCTCTTGGTCGAAAATTGTTAAAATTTGATGCGTATTTGGGATAAGAGGGGAAGGAAGCTGCCTGTCTCTTTAGTTGAACCAATAATTTTTAGATTTCCCAACCCGAAATATCTATCTCATTAGGGTTTATCAAAATCTCACATCTCTTGAAGAGTTGTGGATCAGTGATTGTCTCTATTACTATTATATATGTATTGCAACTGTAAAGTTATTTGATCAATCCTAAACTTTGATTAGTTGTTTTGTGGCTGAAAGCTATGACGCAAAATGAAGGTACTGCAATCAAAATACTCAAAATTATTACCTTACATTAGTTGTGCGGCTTGTGCCTATTGTTATATGCATAAGATGCTAAGAACCACCCACTACTTCGTATTTAAAAGTCTGCCGCAAGAAAGTTGCTAGAGAGCGATACGCCGATACCTGCATTGATACATTGACTCCCATTTCATAAATCAAGCAGGAGAAAAAGAGAGAGAGAAAAAAAAAAAGAGCACTTAAATATTTTCCATACCTTGTCTCCCAGTTTGAATGGCGGAAGACCCTTGTAAGGGCATGCACTGCATCGAAAAGCATCCTCTGATCTACACTGCAAAGTGTATAATCAATCGAAGAGCATCAATTGATCAAACACAAGCTACTAAAACAAGACTCATTATGTTGAGGCCATCATAGAAGTAATTGGCTATTTTGGAAATTTGTTTAGTATCTTGCAGTTTCTTCCTTCTTGTTTTCCAGAAGTTTGACACTTGCATTGATAGCATATATATACTTAAACTCTTAAATCTAAGCACCAAGGGAGCCAGGACAATCAGTTATTAAACCAAAGTTTAGAGGGCATACATTTCCACATGCTAGACTGAGGATTGTCCAGCTGATCCATAGTCAGATCTAACTTCTTTACTTTCTCCTCTGCCCCGACCCTTCCGCAAGTGTAGTTTTCGCAAGCTTCCCTTGTGTTTCCCTTTTTTAGAATGACTCTGCGCTCTAAAGGGAAATGCGAGACATAAAAAACTTCAATCTCTCCTGCACTTTTGAAATCTGATTAAAAAAATATATATACATATCTTAAGTTCCTTCTATATATATATTTTTTTAATTGAATTTATATTTATCTACGTTGAAATCAAATCTAACATCGGTCAATAACAAATTTCTAATAAAAAGAACAAAAAAATCTCAGACCAGTGACCCACCGAGCCCAAAACCCATATTAACCCAGACCAATGACCCTTCAAGCCCATCTAAGCATGGCCCAAGCCTAACAACACTCACATAAAAGAAAGTTGAACTGAATCGTCCCAAGCCCATTCTGAATTTGCAACTTTGGGAAATCGTTTTTGAGTTTAATGGAGCTACTGAATTTTAAAGAAATAATCCTTTAATGTTAACCTAGCATAGAATTTAATTATTTAATGCGTTGCGAGAAACGTGGAAAGTGGAAACTAAGGCCCCTCCATCATTCAATCAGGACTCACCCTTCCGACAATAAAGAGAAAAAGATAATAAACTCATTGATTTTAAAGAATTATTTATTGGAGATGATGAAACAAGGCAGACTTCCGCTACTTTTATAGAAGTATATATTGGTTCCACCATTGCAATAATTCTCGCCCAAAGAGCCAAAAGCTAAAGCTAAAGTTATAAATTTATAATTGCAGTTCTTGACTAATTATCATCAACTGAACTTCTCTAAGTTGATCAGTTAAGCTTCTTTAAATTCCATTTGGGTTCATAAAAAACGGGAGATTATCACCAACCCCCCCTATATTTTCATTAATAAATGGATATATGCTAGCTTATGTAGATTTAATCAAACAATACTCCTAGATTTTCAAAAACTCATCACTAACATCCCATAAGTTAACATTTATCAAACTTCAATTTACCACCTAAGGTTAAAATTGTCTTTTTTTTTTCTTTGTGTAAATCCTATATATAAAATTTTAAACTAAAAAGTTATACATGAACAAAATTACAAAATAAAAGTTAAAAATCCATTGATATTATCAAGGTCGCCAAAATCGACGTGAGACAATCTAAAGGTAGCCGGTGAAATGAGGATAACAAACAGTCAGATCTACGGATAAAGATCTGGCCGTTAATGGCCAGTTTTGGCCATATCTATTTGGCTATTGACAACTGCTAGAAATTTGGCTATCAACGACGGTCAAATTTTGGCTATAAATCTGGTTGAAAAATGTCAGATTAGTACATGACAATCTACATGTACCTGGTGAAATGAGGATAAAAAACCATTCCAGCCAAATCCATATATTTTAAAATTGCTTCTTAATTAGTTGTTGTTTTAATGCCTCAATTATTATTTGAAATTTAGGGATTGAATGAGAAAAAGTCTTATAAAGAGGTGAACAATATGGAAGAAAAAGCAGTTACATGTATAAAGTGATAAACATTTAACAGAAAAATTAAAATGATTTGAGGTAATAAAATTTTTATTTAAGTAATATTACATATACAAACTATTGATATAATATATTCTTTACAAACGGATGTAAAGACCATACATATTTGACATATAGATTCCTTTAATTTATTTAATTTCTCTTTAATTTAAAGTCATTTATTTATTTCCAAAACACATAAGAGAGTTTGTAAAATAAATTTGTACATAAAGCATTATTCGATTTGTTTAATTATAGTATTGTAGTACAATTACGCTTGCCTTAATAAGCTTAATTTCTTTTTTTCTTTTTTCTTTTTTCACAGCTTCTCAAATTTTATATCATATCTATATGCATTTATATATTATTTAAGTTTATATTTCACAACAGAATTACTATTAATCTTTAAAAGTTTTATTTCTAATATTGGTAAATTACAGCTTGTTTTTTTATTTATTTTTATGTAAAATTGCTTGTCTTTCGGAAAACTATTTAAAAAAGAAATATGATTGTGAATATGAATAAAAGTATGAGAGTCTTATTAAAAATAAAATAAGATTCTTATTAGGAATAAAATAAAATTTAGGAATATAATATCTCATGTATTACTTATAAATATAAATATGGTGAGAACTAATTTAAGGTGATGAACGAATAATTGGGTTACACAAAGTATGTGATTGCAAAGGGATGGTTAAACACCATGGATCCATCGGTTGAGTGTAGACAATGGGATTAAATTTTCGTTGTTAATTATGTATAAGATTTATGATGGGTTTACTTATGCATATCCGTGCTTTGTTAATTATGTACTAGATTATCGTGTGGGTATTTTTGTATATCCTTATTGACATAACTACAATGGATTTCTTTCTCATCTGTGGATGTAGAAGAGTTGTATCGAACCATATTAAATATTATATCTCTTTATATGATTTATATTATTACTTATCAATCTCGATTTTTTCCGTTACACGATCTTATAACATCTAATTCTTTTAATTTGACATAAAATAAAAACAATAAACCTTGATTAACATATTATTCCATAACTATAATTCAATTTTCTCTTCATATTCTTTTTATTAGCATTACTCTCCGTAGAACTAATTAATTGACATGTTAATTGTTATATGAAAAACCAAATTCAAAGAATTTATCCTTGAAACATAGTATTTATTGTCTCTTTGTATAAATTTTTATTTGCTATTCCTCTAGTATAGAAAATTCTAGTAATTAGTGATATGAATTATATGATAAAATGACATAAGATAATATATAACTAGGGTTGAAAATTTTGTGTGTGATGCCATTTGCGATGTGTGATGTTATTTTTTATTTAATATTAAGGAAATTATGTTTTCCAAGAGATAAATTTGAAGAAGAAAATTCAACTAACTATATATGCTTATGTTTATTCTTTTAACTTGGTCAGTTACTCATTTAGCCATGTTACCATTAGTAACATGCTACGCATGGTAAGTTCATAGTCTAATGAAATGAGAACCTTTAACATAAATGCTTATCAATAATTGAAGGAATAGGATCCTATGCGTTTTCCAATTAACGGACCAGAAGGAAAGTAAGAGAGGGCATCAATAATTGAAGAGTGATAAATATCTATGCTTTTACCAACTCATCAGAAGAAAAGTAAAAGAAAGACTTACAGGTAGTAAGTATGCAGCAGACAACTTTTGATCTGTATACTAAAGCATTTAACACAGTATAGTCACTACATCTTCTCGAGAATTCTATCTTCTTTTGCCTCTTTATTATTTCATATTGTTCATCCATGGCTTTGCCATCTTCTTCTTCGATTAACTCACAAGCCAAATATGATGTCTTCCTTAGTTTTAGGGGTGAGGATACTCGAGATAACTTTACAAGCCATCTCTATGCTGCTCTATGTCGAAAACAAATCAAGACATTCATTGATTATGATGGACTTAAGAGGGGAGATGAAATTTCACCCGTACTCTTGAAAGCAATTGAAGAATCAAAGATTTCAATCATTATTTTGTCAAAAGACTATGCTGATTCCAAATGGTGCTTGGATGAACTTGCAAAGATTATTGAATGCAAGAATATGAATGGCCAAATGGTTATACCGATTTTCTACCATGTAAATCCATCAGATGTGCGGAAGCAAACCGGAAGTTTTGAGAATGCTTTTGTCATACACGAAAAATGTTTCAAGGAGTTGAAGGAAAAAATTCAGAGGTGGAAGGATGCTTTGACTGAAGCATCTAATCTATCCGGATGGGATTCAATGATGATTAGGTAAGTTCAACTTTTGATTTCAATATACTAAAGTATTTTATTTATGTATTCCTTTTATAGAAACAATGGTATAGTTTTAGTTGTGATGACAAATCTCAAATATATATTTTTATAGTACTTGTTTCTATATTATATTATTTGCTTATGTTATGCTATGTTAACTTTAACATAATATTTCTCTTCTGGTTCACGTATGGTAGGCCTGATTCCAAACTAGTAGAGGAAACTGTCAAAGATGTTTTGAAGAAATTGAATTATAGATCGCCCTCAAGTCATTGGAAAGATCTGGTGGGAATAGATTCACACATCGAGAAAGTTGTATCATTATTATGCATTGGGTCATTAGATTTTCGAGTTGTAAAATGTAAACTAAAAAGTTATACATGAACAAAATTACAAAATAAAGTTAAAAATCATTGATATATCAAGGTCGCCAAAATTGACGTGGACAATCTAAATAGCCGGTGAAATGAGATAACAAACCAATCAGATCTACGTTGATGGCCAGTTTGGCCATATCTATTGCTTTACAACTGCTAGAAATTTGGCACAACGACTCAAATTTTGGCTATAAATAGTTGAAAAAGTCAGATTAGTCACGACAATTACATGTACCGGTGAAATGAGGATAAAAACCATTCCACCAAATCCAATATTTTAAAATTGCTTCTTAATTAGTTGTTGTTAATGCCTCAATTATTATTTGAAATTTAGGGATTGAATGAGAAAAAGTCTTATAAAGAGGTGAACAATATGGAAGAAAAAGCAGTTACAGTATAAAGTGATAAACATTTAACAGAAAATTAAAATGATTTGAGGTAATAAAATTTTTATTTAAGTATATTAATATAAAAACTATTGATTATAATTTCTTTACAAGCGATGTAAAGACATACATATTTGACTATAGTTTCATGGTGTACATCGCAAAAACGTAGAGAAAGATTGGACCATCCAAACTTAATTAAGTGCAGACAAAACCACTGACTAAGCTTTTGGTCTGTACAATTGTCTACACTATATGCACATATATATGTATACTGGCATGCAAATTCTTTTCAAATTTAAATAGTAATTCAACAAGAAGTTGCCATGTCATTCATACAAAGGATGGTTGAAAGCAACAACGCAAAACCACACAAACACAAGATGCGAAAAACCACACACAACTTCGTATTTAAAAAGTCTGCCGCAAGTAAGTTGCTAGAGAGCGATACCTGCATTGATACGTTGACTCCCATTTCATAAAACAAGCAGGAGAAAAAGAGAAGAAAACAGAGCACTTAAATATTTTCCATACCTTCTCTCCCAGTTTGAATGGCGGAAGACCCTTGTAAGGGCATGTGCTGCATCGAAAAGCATCCCCTAATCCACACTGTGAAGTGTATAATCAGTCGAAGAGAATGATTTGATCAGACACAAGCTACTAAAACAAGACTCATTATGTTGAGGCCATCATAGAAGTAATTTGTTTATTATCTTGGTTTCTACCTTCTTGTTTTCCAGAAGTATAAGACACTTGCATTGATAGCATATATATATATTTAAACTCTTAAATCTAAGCACCAAGGGAAGATAGGACAATCAGTTATTAAACCAAAGTTTAGAAGGCATAAATTTCCACATGCTAGACTGAGGATTGTCCAGTTGATCCATAGTCAGACCTAACTTCTCTACTTTCTCATCTGCCCCGGCCCTTCCGCAACTGCAGTTTTTGCAAGCTTTTCTGGTGCTTCCCTTTTTTAGAATGACTTTGCACTCTAAAGGGAAATGCGAGACATAAAAAACTTCAATCTCTGCTGTACTTTTGAAATCTGATAAAAAAATCTATCTTAAGATCCTCCTATATATATTTTTCAAATTGAATTTATATTTATCTACGTTGAAGTCAAATCTAAAATCAGTCAATAAAAAATTTCTAATAAAAAGAACAAAAAAATCTCAGACCATTGACCCACCGAGCCCAACACCTATATTAACCCAGGCCAATGACCCTTCAAGCCCATCTAATTATGGCCCAAGCCTAACAACACCCACATAAAAGAAAGTTGAATTGAATCGTCCGAAGCCCATTGTGAATTTGCAACTTTGGGAAATCGTTTTTGAGTTTAATGAAGCTACTGAATTTTAAAGAAATAATCCTTTAATGTTAAGCTAGCATAGATTTTAATCATTTAATGCGTTGCGAGAAACGTGGAAAGTGGAAACTAAGGCCCCTCAATCATTCAATCAGGACTCACTCTTCCGACAATAAAGAGAAAAGATAATAAACTCATTGATTTTAAAGTATTAGTTATTGGAGATGATGAAACAAGGCAGACTTCTGCAGCTTTTATAAAAGTATATATTGGCTCCACTAATACAGTAACTGAAAACAACGCACCAATTTAAACATCGAGTAGCATGACATAATCTTAATCATCGATTAATTATGAATTAATATTAATCTTAATTACATTATTCGATGTATAAATTTTATACTTTCCTTTTGATACGTTTTTTTCGATAACTTTAGCATTACTCTTGCAATAATTCTCACTCAAACAGCCAAAAGCTAAAGCTAAAGTTATAAATTTATAATTGCATTTCTTGACTAATTATCATCAACTGAACTTCTCTAAGTTGATCAGTTAAGCTTCTTTAAATTCCATTTGGGTTCATAAAAAAGGGAAGATTATCACGAACCACCCCTATATTTTCATTAATAAATGGATATATGCTAGCTTATGTAGATTTAATCAAACAATACTCCTAGATTTTCAAAAACTCATCACTAACATCCCATAAGTTAACATTTATNAGTTTAACCTTTATTATCTGACATTGGATTGCTACCTCTGCTTTCAGTGTAGTTGTAATATATAAAGCAGTTACATTCTCTTTGATTTCCTTTCCTCTTATTTTATTTTATTTTTACTTTCATATACATTCCTATAATCATCATATTGTGATGAATATCCCGGCATATAAATTGGACAATAGTCAATAAATATATATACAGATGGATTAGCTGTGAGAATTATTTGATTGTTGCGCGAATAATTATTAAATTTTAGAAACTTGTATATATTGTATCAAAATTATTCTCATATGTTGTTAGTAAATGCTTTTGGAATGTTTGGATAGCATGACCATATACTTGAAGAGGGAGAAGAGGGTTTATGACATCATAAGCTATGAAAAAAATTAAAACCCCTGTAATTTAAAGTTTAGGTTTTTGAAATCCTTTTTTACAGTTGTGAAATATTAAAGATAGGCCATAGTATTGTTTTATCTTATATACAGCAATCACTTTTTGATAAATAAAGGTTTATTTCATATACACTTGTGAGATTGATTAGTATTATACTCATTTGTTTTGTTAAAGAAGAACTAAAAACATCGGTGTTGTTAATAATATGTTAGGATTTTTATCAAAATTTAAATTCAAAAGTCAATTTTACCCCTCCCATCATTTTTTATTCCTCATTATTTTTATAAATCATTTAAAAACTATTAAAATACTAGAATAGTTTTTACATAATTTATTATTCATTTATCAATTTAATTTTAATTATTTTGGAGAAAAAAACTTATTACCAAAATATCGTTATTCTGATTTTGACTTAATTATAATCATTTTAAGACTTTTGTAAATTTTTAACCTTTGTTTATTCATAATAAAAATTTCAAAACATTTGACTTCAAAAAATTGCTTTAAATCAACATTTAACTTTGTATATTTTATTAAATTCATTTATCTTAACCAAATTCATTTTTTTAATTGAAATATCTTTTTTCTAATTTTTATGTTAGATCTTTGTTTCGTTTTGTTATGCAAATGTGTAACCGTGAAAAGTAAAATGATAAGTTCAAGGTTGATTTTGTGGATTTAAGGAATAAAGGATTTAAGATATTGATTTAAGTTGGCTAGTGATGGGAAGGGCAAAAGAGAAGGGTAAAACAGACTTTTGAATATCATTTGCCTCCAAGAGAGATTGGAGAATATCAAATGACACAGCAGTTTTCTGAAAGTATGAAAAAACCCTGCCGTTAAGAAAAATTTTGTTAAGTTAACAGATAAAGGGCATAATGGTCTTTTTATACCTTCCCTCTCTTTTGCGCCCATTATCAAATTAATTTTTAACTTGATTTTGTTTTTCCTTTTTTTTCTTTCATACTGGGAATTTTCTCTCGGAAAATGAAAATTCTCTCCCTAAATTTCTTCTTCACTCTCTACATTTTCTTCAGAAAATTCCATCTCTATATTTCTTCCACACGAACAATTTAATTCAAGAACAATGTAATATTTTTATTTTGCAGAAATAATTAACTCAAACTAAATCAATTTGATTTCTCCTCTTTGTCTCCCCTCTGTTGCTCAATCTTCTTCTTTTACAGTTGCTCTTCTCTAACAATCGACAAATATCTTTTTGATTTCTAGATCTAAGAATTAAAA